CCTCTGTATGAAGGGCTGTGGGAATCACCCATATGTCAACCTTAATTCGGGGCTCGGGGTTCAGACCCCAGCATTTCACCTTGAAAATCTCCACGGATGGGGCCTCCAAGACCTCTCTGGGCAGCCTGTTCCAGCATTTCACCACTGGCATGGTGAGAAGAGCAGAGGGGCAGAATCACCTCTCTTGATCTGCTGGCCATGCTTCTTCCAATGCAGTCCAGTATGTGATTGGCCTTCTGGGCTGCAAGCATGCACTGTTGGCTCATGTCCAGCTTTTCACCCAGCAGTGCTGCCAGGTCCTTTGCCACAGGGCTGCCCTCTCTCACATCATCCTCTATCCTATATTGATAATGAGGATTGTCCCTACCCAGGTGCAGGACCTTTTATTTGGCCTTGTTGAACCTCATGAAGTCCACATGGGCCTACTTCTTAAGCTTGTCCAGGTCCCTCTGGATGACATCTCATCCCTCTGGCATGTCGATGTAACCACTCAGTTTGGTGTCATCTGCAAACTTGTTGAGGATGCACTCAATCCCACTGGATCATTGATAAAGATATTAAACACTACTGGTCCCAGCACAGACCCCTGAGGGACACCACTTGTCACCCATCTCCATCTGGACATCGAGCCATTGACCACCACCCTCTGGATGTGACCATCCAACCAATTCCTCCTCCACTCAACATCCCAGTGACTCATCCCAACAGATATTTTTTTTTTGGCAGAGAAGGGTGTTGTGGGAGACCATATCAAAGGCCTTGCAGAAGTCCAGATAGATTACATGCATTGTGTTTCCTTTGTCCACTGATGTGGACAGATCTTCCCAGGCACAGAGGTGAGGCTGACAGGTTGGTAGTGAAAAAGGCTAAATTATTTCCCCTTCTACAGCTAACAGGGACTTCACCTGACTGCCAGGACATTTCAAATATCATGGAGAGTGCCTCGGCAACTACATCAGCCAGTTCCCTCAGGACTCTGGGGTGCATCTTGTCAGGTCACATACTTAACGTATGTTCAGGTTCCTCAGGTGATCATGAACATTGTCTTCACTTATACTGGGAGGGACTTTGCCTCCTTGTCCCTGTCTCGTAGTCCTTCAGCTCAAGAGGTGCGAGGAGAGAGGTTACCAGTGAAGATTGAGGCAAAAAAATTGAAAACCTCAGCCTTCCCCTTGTCTGTTGTTTTGAAAACCTCGGCCTTCTCCTTGTCTGTTGTTACTAGCTTGCCATTCTTCCTCATCGGGGGGACTCACTTTCTGTAACCTTTGTTTTCTAGTTGACATACCTGTAAGCCTTTCTTGTTATTCTTTGCATTCCTTGCCAAGTTCAGCTCCAGCCACACCCTGGCCTTCCTGATGTCATCCCTACACAACCAGGTAGCGTCTTTGCAAGATACCTGTCCCTGCTTCCACTGCCTGTGCAGTTCCTTCTTGCCTTTTAATTTGGCCAGCAAGTCTCAACTCAGCCATGCTGGTCTCTTCCCTTCCTTGCTTGATTTCTTACACCTGGGGATCAAGAATCACAAAATCACAGAATGTTAGGGGTTGGAAGGCATCTCTGGAGAGCATCGAGTCCAACCCCCCTGCCAGAGCAGGACCATCTAGTCTAGGGCAGGTCACACAGGAACACATCCAGACGGGTCTTAGAAATCTACAAGGAAGGAGACTCCACACCCTCTCTGGGGAGCCTGTTCCAGTGCTCTGTAACTCTTAAAGAAGTTCTTCCTCACATTGAGATGGAATTCCTGTGCTCCAGCTTGTAAACTCTATGGAAAGTCTCCTTAAAAGTCTGCTACCTCTGTTCTGCTCCCTTGTCCCTGAAGACTGTTTCCCAGAGTGTCCTACTGACTAACTCCTTGAAGAGCTGGAATTTTGCTCTCCTGAAATTCGGGGTCCTGACTATACTCATCTGCCTCATATCCCTTGGGACTGTGAACTCCACCAGTGTGTGACCACTGCAGCCCAGGCTGCCTCCAATCTTGACATCCCTGATGAGCTTGCTTGCGTTGGCGACCATCAGGTCCAGTACTGCACCCCCTCAGGTAGGGCTATTTCCTGGCTTAAGAAGTTAGCATCGCAGCACCCCAGGAGTCTCCTGGATGTCCCACAGCTCACTGTGTTACTTCTCCAGCAGACATTGAGGTGGCTGAAATCCCCCAGCAGGATGACAAGCTTTGTGGCTATCGTGTGTGCTGCTCTGTAACTTGGAGTTTGCTGTCCTCAGAAGTGGGCTTGAAGAGGGGATTTCCAGAGGTACATTTTGAGTAGTGCTAAATGCCCAGAGAAAGCTCGGAAGACAAGGCTCTGTCTACTCTCCTAGGCACTGTCAATTCCATCAGGATGTAATAGGTCACTTTAACTTTGCTCTCAGCTGAACAGATGTGGAGTCAGAAGTGCCAGAACATTTGCCTGTAGAGCATATGAATCAGCAGCATTTTTTTCCCCTGCTGAAGTTTATTGGGTTATAAACTGCATTTCAGCTGAGGTCTTCTGAAGAGAAAAGGAGAGGCAGAAGACTTCCTCTGTTTGCCAAGTAATATAGAGTGGGTTGCTCAACTGACCTCAGCAAACAGTTAATGTCAGTTAACTTTTTTTTTTTTTTAACATACAATTTTCCTGGTTTGGATAAATCCATCTTGGCTTTGCTTCTGACAATTTAAATAACACAGAGTAACTTTTGAGTACATTTTGTTACCCCCACCTAGATGTGGTCTATTTCACTATCTTTGTAATGTCAGATTTTAACTTTCCTTAGAGAAATTGAAGGAATGCAACTTACCGGTTACTCTCTTATGCAAACAAGTTTGAACTTGTACACAGTGGAAGAGGCTTGGACAAGCTCAACATCTACTGAACGCTTTCTAGTACAACACCAACTTCCCTATTTTTCAGGCAATCATAAGACTCTTTTCCTTTAATAGATTTTTCATTTTTTTAAGAACGTTGTGGCCAGTACTACTCACAGCAAGACTTGAAAGACTGTTCTACACTGCTACTTTCATATCAAATGTTTCCTGGATCTAATCTCTCATCTGCATCAGGTCAGCATTGTTTGAAAGAAATCAGACTTCTTTCCCCCACTTACCCTGCATCATCAAAAGTATCAAATGTTCTCAAAGGCCTGCAGAGTATCTTCTAAATAGCTACATTTTGGCTTTTGCTGTAAGCTGATCTGCCCCCATCTTTATGAACAAGAATGGAGGCTTTGGTTAGATTTTTTTCAAGCTCTGTCTCGACAGTTTTCCACGTAACAGCCACCATACAAAGAACCTCAGTCTCCAGCCAACTCCGCTTTATGAATGGCCACATTGTACACCGCGTTCCGAAGTCTTCCTTCTTCCAGGGCGCTGGAAGCCGAGGGCTCACGACCCGAGAGCCAGGCACGAAACCCCCGACGCCCAGGCCTCTCCGGAGGGGCTTCTC